TGTCCGCGGCGATCGCCGTCGGATTGTTAAGTTCCTTTGAGCCCCTGCGGGGGCCCACCTCTATCGTTTGATAGGTTCGGTTTTCACCTCGGGCGGCTCCAGTACGGGTTTTGGGATTTGTCTGCAGTGTCTTCTCGGCCTCGCGGAGGCCCAGTGTTTCGGCTTCGGCGGCCGCCGAAGCTGAATGCTCGAGCTCGCAATGGAGTGTCACTATGCGGCGTCGTCGCGCACAGGTTGAAAATGAACGGTTGCGACAGCTGTAATTCTGAAGGGCTCTCGCCCGCTTTCCGTCTGGCCCTGGAGGAGAGGGATGCTACAGTTTACTGAACGTCTTTCTCTCGCCCTGGTGGCCGCAAGCGTCTACGCCCAAGTCTTTCCACCCACCGCCCCCTCCTGTCACCTTGAGGGGCCGGGTTTTTTCTGCTCTGTCTTCTCGGCCTCGCGGAGGCCCGGTGCTCCAGCTTCGGCGGCCGCCGAAGCCGAACGCTCGAGCTCGCAATGGAGCGTCGCCTTGCAGCGTCGTCACGCACATATTGAAACAACAAACGGTTGCGACAGCTGTAGATCTAGAGGGCCGTCTTCCGCTTTCCGTCTAGCCCTGGCCCCTGGCAGATTGCGCAATGCGCCATTGCCCCCGCTTCCGCGGCCTCCTGGGAGGTCAAGCGGAGTGGAGTTGCAAACAGATCCAGCCGAGACATGTTGGCTCTTTGGGGGGCCGCGATCTGCGAATCTACAGCCGCGTCCGTGCGTGGGAGGTCAGTCTGAGTAGAGTTGCAGTTGCAAGTAACTCCAGCCGAGCCCTCGCGACCCCCCTGGCGGCCTGCGAAGTGCACGACTATCCTCACTTTCTTTGGCCCCCAGGAGGTTAAGCCGAGTGGAGTTGCAAACAGATCCAGCCGAAACCTCGCGGCTCCCTGGCGGGCTTTTAAGAGCGCAGCTGCCCCCACTTTCGCAGGCTCCTAAGAGGTCCAGCCGAGTGGAGATGTAAACAGATCCATCCGATACCTCGCGTCTCGATGGGGAGCTGCGAAGCGCGTTGCTTTTTCACTTTCGCGGGCTCCTGGGAGGTCAAGCGGAGTGGATTTGCAGACAGATCGGGCCGGGATCTCGCGGCTCCCAGTTGGCTTGCGCCTTGCGAAACCGTCGCCGCATTCGCGGGCTCATGGGGCGTCCAGCGCAGTGGGGTTGCAAACAGATGCAGCCGAAACCTCAAGGATCCTTGGCGGGCTACGAAGCGCGCAGCTGTCGCTACTGGCGCGGGCCCCTGGGAGGCTAAGCCGAGTGGAGTGGTAATCAGATCCAGCCCAGACCACGCGGCTCCTGGGGGTGCTGCGAAGTGTGCAAATGTCGCAACTTCCCTAGGAGTTCCAGCGGAGGGGAGTTGATCCTGCCCAGACCTCGCAGCTCCGTCGTGGGCGACAAAGTACGCCACTGCCCCCTAGAAGGCCAGGCCGAGACGCGTTCCTGCCGCCGCCCGAGGGCCACGAGACGCGGGACCTGCACCTGCCGAGCGCGTGCCAGAAGCTCTGCGTTGCACCCGACGGGCAGTGGCCCTGGCCCGCGCAGATTTTGGGCCCCAGCAGCCTTGGGCCGCGGCAGCACGGATGGTAGGCTCTCGTCGCCGAGCAGCAGGCGGCGGCTGGCGCGGCGCGCGCTGGTCTGCGGCCGTCGGCAGCCTGTGGTGCACCATCGAGGTGCGGCGACGACTGGCGGAGATCGTCGCGAAGGGTGAGATCGGTCCAGGGATGCGCCGCCCCCCTGACGATGGAGACCTCCGTGCGCCCCTGCTCAGGCGCGCACGGGGCCCAGGCAAAAGCAAGATGCAGACGGCGCGGACGCTGTCCCCGAGGTCACCGTCAGCCACGGGGCCGAGGACGACGGCGAGGTTGATGCCCACGTCGGGGTCGCTGCCCTGCGCGCCCAGGCCGGCGCGGCATCGCCGGGCGCGGACGCCCGCGTCGTCTATCATTTTGAAGTGCAAAAGCGTAAAGGCCCTCGGGTGCGCCGAGCGGGCCTCCGTAAGAGGCCTAGTCGAAATTTCAAAATGGCGACGCGGCCCCGAAAGTCAGAGTCGCATGTTTGTTCCACTTCTTGCGGAGGGTGCTCGCCTTCGCCACAGCCGCGCGGGCCCAGGACTTTGGGAGCGGCTGCAGGCGCCGGCCCATGGAGAGCGGCGGGCGACGCGCGCCAGGGAAAGCATCCAGAACCGCTACGAGGCCCTGTCCGACCTGGGCAGCGAGGGGGCGGCGCAGGCGCGACGGAAGCTCTGGGCGCCCCAAAGTTCCGAGGCGCCACTGGGGCCTGACTGCCCCGCCGCCGCCGCAGTGGCAGAGATCGGTGGCCATTCGGGCCCGCAGGGCCGCGCGCGAGAAAGCGTCGCGGTGCCGCGCCCAGCCGCGCGCGTTCTTTGCGCCGGCGACACTCGGCGCCGCCCGAGCGATTGCGCGGCCCACCTCGCGGGGAGATTCGAGGGCGGGCCCTTGGGCCCGGTCGCCAGGAAACGAGCGCCCCGCATTTCGAAGAGAGGCTAGAACTTGTTCGCGGCAAAACTCGCAAACGCCTGCAAACCGTGCGGGGCGACGAGCAACGGGAGGCGCGCGGGGCGAACGCCGCCGGACCTTCCGGGCGCTGCCCGTGGGCCAGGGGGGCTCGGGCAAATTTGCGATCGCGCGGGAGATCGCGCTGCCCGCGGTTGACTTCTTGTCCGGGGTCTCATCCACGCTCATCGCCTGTGCCAAATGGTCCCAGGCCGAGAACATTACCGCGGAAAACACGCGCCGACCGCGTGCCACCGGGCGGCGCAGATGGGCGTCTGGGAACGCTGGAGCAGAGATGATACCCGATGCCGACACGCGCGCGCGTGTCGAGGACACCTGGAGTGACCTAGGACTGTTGCGGCCGCGGCGGCGAGCGCGGTGCTGCCAAATCTTCACAACGCGCCCCCGTGCCGCGCCTTCCAGGCCAGGCGCGCCCAGTGCAATCTGAAGGAGGCGGACAACCAGAAGCCCTCCCGCGGTTTTGGCCGCGTCCCCATCGTGATCTGCCTGTGGGATTTCCTGCAGCTGGAACCAAACTGGGTCTGAGAGGTCCTTGC